TTTTAAACCTGTTTGTATATTTATCTGGACAGTACTGTGCAAAAGTCAGCCCACTTCTTAATTACTTAATTGGAAAATGGCCATTAAGTAATTCATTTGTTTTTCATCATCAGGGAAAAAGATGAGAACATGTATATTTAACATGAAATTACACAGAAACTTCAAAAACTAAATAGAATATCATTTTTTTCAGTATTTACTGTGTGAACTCTTTATCTTTATTACTGCTTCAGTTCTTTTCAGGAGACTCACTTTCAGTTTTTAAAGAAATCTGCATGGATGTTTTTCCAAAGTTCAGTCGTAGAAGTTGGTTGCATTTTCTGGTTCTCGCAATCCAAGTAATGTGGACTGTTGGACTCTAGGATGGTCAGTCTATTGTTCTGAGAACACCAGCAGCTCCTTTATTAAATTTCTTCTTTTTTATTTCCTTTTCTCAGTGAGGGCCACTTGGCAGCTACAGACCCATAGCGCTGAGTTGTCTTCTCACAGTAGAAGGATGGACAGAAACACCTGTGGATGTTTTCAGTTCTGAAGCAGCTTGATTTTCTCCTCTCTCTCAAAGAGGAAGCTTTAAGTGCTGTTTATCTGATGGGGACAGTGTTGGTGGCCTATCAGATATCATGGTTGTTAGGAGTCCCATTTTCTTTGTACCCTTTAATCATTTTTTGAACTCCAGTTTTGGAAACTTTTGTTTTATTGCTTATTTTCTTTTGACTTTCTCCTTTTTTTATGCAAGTGGATTATATATTCAATCTAATCTCATAAATATCTCCTGCAAACTAATGCTTGTTTGCAGTTTTGACTGGAAAGTAAATTAAAGAAGGGTGGACTCTGACTTTATTGGAAGGTCAGCAGGAGTTTGATACCCCTATACTTCCATACTTTTTAATTAAATTTCAACAATATGATTTGCTTAGCAGTAGATAATGTGATTTCAGAAATAAACAATATTGTTTTCTTTTAGCTTCTTGGCAACACTGACATGGTGTGAAGGTTACTTTTCAGCAATTGCAAAATAATAAGAGTAGGTTTTATTTATATATCACCCTCTCTTACAGTCAAGGTCGCTTTACAGACTCCATAACAAAAGAACCACTTAATCACCGTTAAAGCAACACTCATGCCTGAACCTTCTCTCTGCACAAATATAGCACAGTGATATAAGCTAGTGTACCTCACCCCTGAATCCAGGTAGAAAGAGCATATTGCTCATTTTTAAGCTTAGGAGAATTAAGTGAATCTCCACTTAAAGTCCTTTTTTCTACAGGACTGCTTTTAATTTTGGAGCAGAAAGCCGTCCCGTGTGCTCAGATGTCCTTTTGTACTAGTCATAGCCAGATCCTGTGCAGGTCAGAGTTCATTTTAGTTCATAATTTGATTTAGGCTACATGCTGAGAGATAGTAATGTCACACAGTGGGTCATTTCTTGACTTACTGCTTCTGTCTACCTCTGGCAGAAATATCCAGGGCACTAGGCTAATCCTGCACTGGCACAAGGTCGCAAGGCTAGCATTGGAAACAGGCCACTAACCCAGTGCTCACAGCAGGGTCATCCCAATGTTCCCAGGGTCCTATGCTCCCTGGGATTTCTGCTCATGTACGTTTGTTACTTCACTCTGCTAACTTGCTAGTTAGCTAGCTAAGGGCTACACAGTTAGATACTACAAAATGAAGGGCAGTGTGTCCCACTTAAACCAGGCAAATCAGTTACTGAGGAATTGTATGTATCTTCTCAAAAAATGGTTTGCATTATAAAGTAAGCTCAGCTAGCTAATTAGGCAAGCCTAACCAAGGGCAAGTGCACTCCATTTAAAAAATCTGCTCCTCGTTGTTCCCTGTATAAACCTATGGTGACCCCTAGACGCTCGTCTTGCCCTCAAGAATCTTTTTATCCATACGTTTTTATAATGCATTATATGATGAATTATATAAAGAGTTTAGGGAACAAGGCACAGGGAGCATAGGACTCTGGGAACTTAGGACCATGGAAACACAGAGCCTTAGGAATATAGTGCCTAGGTAACATGGGGCCCTGGAGGCACATGACCTCAGGAATATAGGGCCCTGGAAACACAGCCTTGGGAATATAGTGCCCAAGGAGTATAGGGCACTGGAAACACAGAGACTTGGGAATATAGTGCATAGAGAGTAAAGGGCCTTGGGAACATGGGGCCCTGGGAACATAGGGCCCTAGGAACTCAGACACTGGGAAAATAGTGCCCAAGGAGTATAGGGCACTGGAAACACATTGGGAATATAACACCTAGGAAACATGGGGGCCTGGAAACACAGGGCCTTGGGAATATAGTGCCCAGAGAATAAAGGGCCTTGGGAATATGGGGCCCTGGGAACATAGGGCTAAAGAAACATAGGGCCCTGGGAACATAGGCTGTTGGGAATATAGTGCCCAGAGAGTAAGGGCCCTGGGGGAATAAGGCCCTAGGAACATATGCTCTTGGGAATATAGGGCCCTGTGTACACAGGCCTTTGGAATATAGTGCCCAGAGAGTATAAAAGCCCTGGAAATATAAGGCTGTGGAAATCTAGGGTCCTGGAAGCATAGGCTTTTGGGAATATAGGGCCCTGGAAACATGGCCTTGGGAATATAATGGCCAGGGAACACAGGGCCCTGGAAACACAGGGCCTTGGGAATATAGTGCCCAGAGAGTATAGGGCCCTGGAAACACATGCCTTGGGAATATAGTGCCCAGAGAGTATAGGGCCCTGGAAACACAGGTCCTTTGGAATATAGTGCCCAAGGGAGTATAGGGCACTGAAAATACAGGGCCTTGGGAATATAATTCCCAGGGAACATAGGGCCCTGGGAACACAGGGTATTGGGAATATAGTGCCCAGAGAGTATAGAGCCCTGGGAGCATAAGGCCCTAGGCACATAGGCTCTTGGGAATATAGGGCCCTGGGAACACAGGGCATTAGCAAAAGATGCCTTTGGGAATATAGGTACACTACGCTATAGGGTGCTAGGCTAACTTCACAGTATCTGAAGGGTGGGAGGTTTGTTAGGATGGGTTGACCACAGCACTAGAGCAGCGATGAGCTGTCCATTTGTGCAGTTAGTCATAGCTCCAGCCGTGGGCAGATATTTTAGAGGAAGCTAACAAGGAGACTATAATAGGCCACCATTAGCCTATGTCTGGGCTTTTTTCTTTAAACAGTAGTGATGCAGATGAAGGCAGAATCAAAGCTGTGATGTGAGAGAGAGTGTGTGCGTGTGTCCATTTGTGCTTTCCTGTGCGCTTCTCAAAGCCTCTTTTGAAAAGAAATGTACCGGCTGCAGCATTCTAACCTCAGGCACTTTTATCTGCTTATTTATGTCAGTGATTTTAAAAAAGATGACTTATCATCTTGTACATTTCTCAAATGTAGCTGTTTAAAATTCATATTCAGTATTGGCCATAAATGCAGGTGTACATTCAGGTGGATGAGTGTTCCAGTGTGTGTGTGTGTGAGTGTGAGTGTATGAGTGTGTGGGAATACTCCTTGCTAGCGTGTGCTAACCCTCCATCTCTGATTCTCACCAAAGCTTGGGATTATCCCCTGCTCAAGAAAGCACACAATGGCCTCCTGCTGACCTGTCCACTCCCAGCACCACGTCCTGCACTCACAAACGCTACACCCACACATGCGGTGCTGATTGTCCTCAGCGCGTGTGAAAGTCAACAAAAGCATGATTCCTGCTCACACTAAATGAATGCAACTCCAGCTAAATTTCACCTAAGCAGGCTGATCACCTCAGCCTGCTTAGGTGAAATTTAGCTGGAGTTGCATTCATACTAGAGTTTATAGAGATGCCAACAGGACTGAATCTGTTGGTGATTGTCCAGCCATCTGTGGTGTTGCTCAGCTTTCCATCAATTGAGTTTTTAAGAGCATTTCAAGGTTTAATATGATTTGTAAGATGTCAGGTATGTGCCTGTGGCATAATGAATGCAAAAGGTAATTAAATAACCCAGCTTGGAAAAGCCTACAGATCGTGCTCATTGTATTTTGTGGTTACATTGTGGTTGGAAAATTAAAGGGTTAAACAGTGAAATGGCAAAAGGAAAGTTATCCAATCAGGACTTTTTGCATGGAGTCTAGGTAGATACAGCCCAGTCCTAACCAATGGGTTCAGGCTTTACACATTAGATTAACTAACCAGCAACAGTAGCTCTTTACTGAGTCACTGTAAAACTGCTACAATATATACAAGGCACAAAATATGCTAATATGTCTGTTGCAAGCTTCAAATAAAACATGCATTGTCTTTTACAAGCTGCAGATATCAGTGCTAAATCCAGAATGGTACAAACATGCTAGCTAGCTTAGCGCTAACATACTTTTAAAATTCCATTGGGGCGCTAGCAGGAATTTAAAAAAAATTTTAGCAGGAAAAAAATTCCTTTTTCACTGAGTTTTGGCATTTATGGCCCAAACTGAAGGTCTAGCACTGATAGTCTTGCTTTGTCACTGGGCTAATGTAGTTAATATGAAATGGAAACCTTTTTGGAAGCCAATTAGCATCATGCTAACATACTAACTGCATGCGTAAATCATTGCATACTTTCCTCAGACTGTGTTGAGACAAGATGAGGGAAAATCGGTCAATCTTACGTGTTTCTGAGACTGTATGACGGACTGTTATCTATAAAAATAGACAAAATTACAGATAAATTTGCTGCTGATGCTGGTTGCTTCTGCTGTTTTAGCTTTGTATGTATGTTACAAGTGTACTTGAGTCTTTAATTAGTGATGTATGAGGTTCAATTACTTGTTAGCTACATTAGCCTCTTAGCTCCAGTGCAAAACATAAGAAGCCAACTTCACACACCAAACACAGGCTGACCAGCTACATATGGAATAAAGGAAAATTGATATACAAACTTAATCGTGATCACAGCATATTGTTCTGTTCCCAAAAGAGCAGCTGATAGGGTACGATAGTCAGAACGGACAGTCGAATTGCCTGCAGCTCATCATGTTTTTTCTCATCTCCTCAGGGTCTGAAGGCGGCGGATAACGACCCCACGGCCCCACCGTACGACTCTCTGCTGGTGTTCGATTACGAGGGCAGCGGCTCCACGGCTGGCTCGCTCAGCTCCATCAACTCGTCCAGCAGCGGCGGAGACCAGGACTACGATTACCTCAACGACTGGGGACCCCGCTTCCGTAAACTCGCCGACATGTACGGAGGAACGGACGAGTGAGGCGGTCAGCGGCGGCCAGCGGGAGCGAAAGACGAGGGAAAGAAAACACACCTGGCTTTTTTTTCCCCCCTCTGTTTGACGGATGTGGAACAGCTTCTGGCAACCGATTTTCCCCCCTGAGAACAGACTGAATGACAACGGAGTAAGCAGAAAACAACAAAAAAATGTATTATAATAAGGAAAAAAGTACAAAAAAAATCAACAAAAAACGAAACCCTAGGCTTAATGTTGTAGTGTAGGCATATATATATGCTTGTTGAAGGCTTTCGGCACTGGCGGCGGTCACGTTTTTCGGAGGAGGAGACGAGAAGAGGGGAGATTGGTGGACTGTCACTGTTTTTGGATTGTAGGCTACGATAAAGCGCTCAGTTACACTTGAATTTTACAGTACAGAAGCACTGGGATTTAATGTGCCTTTTTGTACATTTTTTGGATCTGAATGATTAGTTTTATGTTCAAGGCTTTAATGGTACTGACATTTGGAGTGATTTCGAGACATGAGGAAGTATGTTAATCTCCGATATGCTTCATCACGCTTCCTTTTCCTGGTTACCAACTGCTGTTTGTTGATAACGATTAATTTAATTGAATTATGAAGAGATGAAGAAGACAGTTTGAAGGCTCCTATCTTAAGTAGGACGCACCAATTGACAGCGTCACTGTACAGTACATTAGAATTTTAGATTTCTTTTTCCACAACAAAAAAAAAGAAAAAATACTTATGCAGCTGGTTGCAGATAAAGGGAGGTCATAAACGATACTTTTATAGCAGAATAAGTTTTAGTTTTCTTTCTGAAGTGGTGTAACATTTTACGAAAAAAACAAGGCGAACAGCCGTTTCCTTTACGTTCTCATTCATGTACACTTCATTTGCCTTAGTCACCATCTGATGCCCTCGGTTTTTACTCTACTGTAAAAAAAAAATGTGTACATAATGTTTTTTTTTCTTCTTCTTTTCCTTTTTTTCTTTCGATGTAGTCGATCAAGAAGTGCAAACAGTTTAGAGATCTTGTAAATGTATAATTTGGGCTACAAAACATTTTTTTTGCATGTTTTTATCTTTTCACAACAATGAAAGAAAAAAAAAACTCTTTCCAAAATTGATTTACACGAAGTACATAACACTAAATCAGCTGATGTGAAACATGTAGAGGGTACAAAACTTTTTTTTTGTAAGAAAATAAAAAAGAATAAACAAACAACAAAGAACGTTACTCCTTTAAAATGAAAAGAAAAATAGAAACATTGTCAGCACAAATGTTTGAATTTGTACCAAAAAGGGCAGGGGTGGGCTTTTGGGGTGGGTGCTGTTCCATCTTTGACCATTGTAGGCACTAATGAACCGTCAGCTTTAAAGCAGGAAAGGTTTCGGACAGACGCTTTTGTGGATAATCTTATGTACTGGAATTCAAATGATTCATCTCTGACCCCAACCGTCTGAATAAAAATGGTAATTTTGGAGCTAAAGTCTGCTTCTTTTGTTCCTTTCTTCTCTTTTCTCCCACATTAGCGCTCCCCTTGCTGCGCTGCTAATGCTACGGTCAGCGCTGCTTAATTTATTTTGTGGACTGAACAGAAATCTCTCGCTAACAAATGAGGCTCTTAGCTTTCATGCTGTCTTTTAGCATGGACGTGAGAATGGACCAGTATAGTTACCGCAGAAATTTTGTCCTGCTCTGTTTGTCCTTTCTCTTTCTTTATTAGGCATTCCAGGAAACCCTGAGGTCAAGAACAAATGTTCTCCCAGTCTTCTCAGCATTCTGGGCACCTTGTTGGGTTTCTTTTTTCTTTGTAGGGGGCACTCGAGTTAAATTTACCCCAGAACGCAGGCCATCTTATTCCTTTTCTCTTCCTGGTTTGTGACTCACACCCAGAAGCACTCAGGGTCACATCTTGGTCAGAGCGTGTTCTGCTCGTGGCCTCTGACTCAGGGGAGTATTCATCGTCTTCTCTGAGATCTGAGCTGGAAATAACAGGAAAAAACCATCTCTCAGTCCATTGTCCACTGCTTTCACAGGAGGAAGGCTCTGCTTCTACTGAAATTAGAGGGTATTAACAGGGAACTTGCCACCTCCCACTCTTCTGGTATGGCTTTACACTAGACTTTGGAACATTCCTGTAAGGATTTGATTGCATTCGGTTATTACATATTCACCTTATCACTAATGATTTAAGCTGACCACAGCTATTCTTTCGGAATCATATGAACAGAAAGTGGCTGCTTTTCGCATTTCCATCCATTAGTTTGAGGCAAATAAAGCAGAAAATGCATTTACTGAGCCGTGATATGGGTCTTACAAAAAAACAAAGGTTCTAACTTGTGTCGGGTTCTAGAGTGCCTCTAGAGGGTAGTTGTCAGTCACATTTATTTGAGCTCAAGCTGTGCCCATCGTCAGTTGGAAGCTACTAAGTATCGACAGCTAGCAAGATAATCAGCCAATTTGGCAACTTTAGGCTTACGCTTAAGTAGTTCAATACAAATGAATAAAAACAGGTGATTCAATTGTTGATCACAAACATTTAAATCATAATTAATCATCATTAATAATGATCGCGACAGGCCTACATTCAGCCACAGGAGTATTAATGAGCTCAGCCTTAGATGCTCCATCCACACATACATAGAGCATCTGAGACCAACAATAGGAGAATTCCCCACAACTATCAGGATTTTGTCAGCTGCGTTCTGATTGGCTGCCTGCTGGTCCATGTCCAGTGCAGGGGGGTTTTATCATTTTATCACGTTATTAAGCAGTTGCCCACCTTGCACAATGTGACAAGATGAGCCATTCAGAGATACACTTAAAAAAAATAAGATGGTTCTTTAAGGGTTCTTTAGTAAAGAAAATGGTATAGTACCATGAACACTCAACCTTTTTACATGATTAAAGGGTTCTTTGCATCATGAAAGCGTTCTTCAGATTGAAAGAAAATGTGTTGTGTATGGTTCTGTATAGAACCTTCTTAAAATGCGTTCTATATAGCACTAAAAAGAGTTCTGCTGTTGTAACAAGCTTGATATCGTAACAATAGAAGAACCATTTTGGTGCTATGTAGAACCCTTGTCATATACAACACATGATTTTTCCTTTAATCTGAAGAACCCACTCATGATGGAAAGAATGCTTTAATCATATAAAGAGGTCTTTGAGTGTTCATTGTTCTATATAGAACCATTTTCTTTACCAAAGAACACTTGAAGAACCATAATTTTTAGGAGTGTGTAGCTAATAGAGTCTAATAAATACAGATGTGATGTTCGTCTTCCTAGCAAAAATGTTCCTCCCTATACACATTTAAAAATCATGGTTCTTCAAGGGTTCTTTAGTAAAGAAAATGGTTCTGTATGGAACCATGAACACTTAAAGAATCCGTTGCATGATTAAAGGGTTCTTTGCATCATTGTAACAAGCTTGACATCATAACAATAGAAGAACCTATTTGGGTGCTATATAGAACCCTTTTCAAAAAGGTTCTTTATAGAACCATCTACAGCATGTTCTCCATCAATCTGGAGAACACTTTCAGGATGCAATGAACCCTTTAATCATGCAAAGGGTTCAATGGATATATATAGAACTGTATTTTTTTCCTAAAGAACCCTTGAAGAACCATCGTTTTAAGAGTGTGGAGGAATCCTAATGACTGACATGTTTGCATAATGCATGCTGGGTACTGTAGTGAGAGAACACTGATGGATCAAAACACAAAAATATAAGATACAAAATTGTGAATTCTGTCAAATCGATGAGGCTGAGGGATGCAGTGCTGTTACAGATCATTATATAATACAAAAATAACATATTAAATATTAGTTTTAGGCCAAAATACCCCTTGAAGTCAAATTGTAAATGACCTGATCAGAGATGTGTTGCAGGTTACTGGTCATGTTTTCAGGCCTGCATCACTGAATCCTGGAGAAACTACATTCGTTCCTTTCTCAACACATTTGTGGTGAGAAGAAATGACAATAAAGCTGACTTTGAGTTCTGGAATGCCACTCTAACTCATTCCAAAGGGATTGGATGATAGGAGCTCCATCACTCCAGAGAACGTAGCTCCACTGCCCCACAGCCCAGCATGGGACATGCTTTTCTAACACTAGGGTCAGTAATGAGTGAACCTTAAATATAGTATTCACTAATTAGGAGGACTGTCTGGATACTTTTGGACGTATAATGTTTCATAATCTCTGCTAACCTGCTTGAACATTCACCACAGCTCGGCCCTAGATGTCATCAGTTACTGTACGAACACCTGGCAACTCATAAGCTACTCAGTTAGTTCTTTTTTTAAGATGAATGCTTAAGTGGCTTGTTTTGTAACATGACCTCGTTCAAACATAATACCTTCTAACCTCCTTGAATCTTTTGTCACAGTTTGGCCCTGGATTTTGTCTTTCAAGTCTGGGACACTGAGGATCATTTTATGAGGATAAATACAGCTAATTTCTTGAGGTCACCTTGAACAAAATGAAACCACTTTTTATTTTTTAAATCTATTTCAGTGAAATCGTTTATAGCACTCTCGCTTTTTTGATGCTGTCCTCTCTTCTCTCCAGTGCAAAAGTAGTGATCTATCCTTTATTTAATGACTAAAGTTTAATGTGAAGTACCAAAGTACAGGAAAAAGCTGACTGACATCAATACCTTCCATCTCAAAGTCATCCTGAATTGAAAAATGGACATTTTTAACTCACCATTCATCAGTGGATGGGAAACAATAATCCAAACAAATGATATCATACCAATCCCACCTATCATTGAGAGAAAACGCCGAGCTATCTTAAAGACTGTCACTGATACCGTCTTTCACTCAGTAACGCGTCACAGTACAGATGTCATGGTTTCCAATTTATGCTGACTTAAAGTGCAACAGGCACTATGGCCAAAATGAAAACTGTAACCAGAGCTACAGCTACTGCAGACCTGCCTCCTCACCTCCTACAGTGGTGCCGCAGTTGTCTTGAGAGTGAGATTTTCCTTTTTTAAGACTAGAAAAAGCACCTGCTGATGATGTGTCTTGGAGGTGGAAGGATGGAAGGAGAATAAAATGTAAGCATATTCTGTTGTCTGTTGGTGAAGCCAAAACTAGTGACTGAATAAACATAGCGCTGACTGGAGCTCTTTGAATCTGGTACATATGTATAAATACACCGATCAGGCATGACATTATGACCACCTCCTTGTTTCTACGCTCGTTGTCCATTTTATCAGCTCCACTTACTATATAGGTGCACTTTGTAGTTCTACAGTTACAGACTGTAGTCCATCTGTTTCTCTGCATACTTCGTTAGCCCCCTTTCACTCTGTTCTTCAGTGGACAGGACCCCCATGGACCCTCAGAGAGCAGGTACTATTTGGGTGGTGGATCATTCTCAGCACTGCAGTAACACTAATGTGGTGGTGGTGTGTTAGTGTGTGTTGTGCTGGTCGGAGTGGATCAGACACAGCAGTGCTGCTGGAGTTGTTAAACACCTCAGTGTCACTGCTGGACTGAGAATCGTCCACCAACCAAAAATATCCAGCCAACAGCGTCCTGTGGGCAGCGTCCTGTGACCACTGATGAAGGACTAGAGGATGACCAACACAAACTGTGCAGCAGCAGATGAGCTATCGTCTCTGACTTTACATCTACAAGGTGGACTGACAAGGTAGGAGTGTCTAACAGAGTGGACAGTGTTTAAAACCTCTAGCAGCACTGCTGTGTCTGATCCACTCAGACCAGCACAACACACACTAACACACCACCACCACATCAGTGTTACTGCAGTGCTGAGAATGATCCACCACCCAAATAGTACATGCTCTGTGAGGGTCCATGGGGGTCCTGACCACTGAAGAACAGGGTAAAAGGGGGCTAACAATGTATACAGAGAAACAGATGGACTACAGTCTGTAATTATAGAACTACAAAGTGCACCTATATAGTAAGTGGATCTGATTAAATGGACAATGAGTGTAGAAACAAGGAGGTGGACATACTGTTATGCCTGATCGGTGTACATTGTAATAACCTTTATTGCATTTGTGACATTTTAATGAGAAATTGGAATCAAGTGTATTTGCCATATATATTAAAATGAATTAGGAACTTGTCACGCTACATTCAACATTTATAGCTACCATATGCTACATTTCTATGTTTTGATTGGCTGTCCTGTATTGTGCCTCATTCAAAAAAGCAGCCCAGGCTGAAACACTCCTTATAACTTCAGTGTGAATGGGCGGG